CCAAAAGGCCTCATACTAATTGGAGTTGGACTTTAACTTATATACTAGAAACTTTTTTCACCACTTCTTGCACTCCAATAAGCTCCCTCATTTTTGTGAAGTTAATTCTTCCTAGTGCTTTAGTTAAGATGTTCGCCTTTTGCTCATCTCTCGGAACATGCATCACTTCTATTTGCCCATTCTCATATCACCTATGTATGGTATTGCTTCGGCCGTGGAAGACCGGATTCTTTGTAAGGGCAATAGCCGACTAGTTGTTAATGTGAATGGTGACTTTCTCACAAGACATTCCAGTGATCTCACTGAGTAAATCTTGAAGCCAATTGGCCTTTTTTGCAGCCTCTGTTCCCACCATAAACTCTGCTTCACATGATGATAATGCAACAACATTCTGCTTCTTTAAACACCATGATATTGGACTCTTCCCAAGGTAGAACACACGACCCATTGTGCTCTTTCCGTCGTCCGGATCAACGTTGTGACTACTGTTACTACAACCTATTAGCTTTGGTACTTCCTTACACAAGCTAATAGTTATTCCAAGAGTAGTTGTTCCTTTTAGGTACCGCATACATTGCTTCATTGCTACAGAATGTAATTCTCGTGGACTTTGCATGTACCTACTCATTACTCCTACACAATATGACAAATTTGGCCTTGTATGAAGAAGATATCTGAGGCATCCCACATTCTTCCTATAGATCGTTGCATCAACTTCCTTCTCATGTTCTGATTTTGACGTTTTTAAACCGGTGTCCATAGGTATACGAACTGGATTGCAATCCTTCATACCAGCTTCTTCTAGAATCTTGAGTGCATACCGATTTTGGTTTAATGTTATTCCGTCATTGTGTTAAATGACTTTGATTCCAAGATAATATGTCAGTTTCCCGAGGTCGCTCATTTCAAAATTTGAAGACATCTCCTCTTTGAAACCTTTTATGACATTCAAACTTGTTCCTGTGACAAATAAGTCATCAACATACACAACTACAACAAGAAGATACTCCTTGATTTCTTTTCGATAAACTGATGGCTCCTTTGAGCATTTATTAAACTGTAGCTCACAGAAAATATGATTCAACTTATTATTCCATGTTCTCAGAGCTTGTCTCAGACCATATAGTGCCTTATTGAGCTTGTAAACTTTATCTTCACCTCTCTTTTTTGTCAAAACCTTCTGGCTGATTAACATATACAGTTTCCTTGAGCTCTCCATGTAAAAAGGATGTCTTAACGTCAATGTGGTGTATCTTCCACCCGTGTAATGCTGCGAGATCAATGAGAAGCCTTATTGTTTCAATTCGTGCTACTGGAGCAAAAACTTACTTCAAAATCAACTCCATATCGTTGCACATACCCTTTTGCGACAAGCCGAGCCTTATACTTGTTGATGCTCCCATCAGAGCTCCTTTTGAGTTTAAAGACCCATTTTAAACCGATTGGGTTAGCTCTAGTTGGTAAGTCCAAAAGATCCCATGTTTTGAGTTTTTCTATGGAACTAATTTCATCTTCACATGCATATATCCACTCTTTTATTTTCTTTGTCTCATGAAAACTTCTTGGTTCGTCATTTAAGTATAGAAGCAAAAATTCTCCTTCTTCTTCAGCCATTAACACGTAATCTTCAAGATTCTTTGGCTTAGTGATCTGTCTCTCTGTTCTTGTTAATATACAGATGGAGAAGGATCACTTGATTCTACATTCTCATTATCCCCTTCTTTATCAAGCCCTGTTTTTTCCCCGGTTTCAATGTTACTGTCACTATCATCATCAGACAGTTCATGATCTTGTGATTCGTGTTCTGTTCCTGCATGCTCTGTTTCAACATTTTCTTCACTTTCTCGGAGACCATGATTCCCATAATCATGAAATGTAATATAGAAGCTTCCATCTCCATCTCTTACTAAGTTGTTATGCTTCAAATTCTATCGTTTAGTTTCATCAAATACAACATCTCGGCTCACTACTATTTTTTGTGCTTGCGGATCAAGTAGACGGTAAGCCTTAGATCCTGGTTCTATTCCCAAATGAACAAGTATCATATATGGATCTGTCATCAAGCTTTCTCAGATGTGGCTTGTTTATTTTTGCGTATGCAATGCAACCAAAAATTCTGATTTGTTCAACTGTTGGCCTCTTTCCTGAAAGCATTCATAGGGAGTCTTATCCTTAAGAGCTCGTGTGGTGACTCTGTTCAAAAGATAATTAGAATGTGTGATAGCTTCTCCCCAAAAATGATTTGGCATACGCATATGTTCCAGAATGCTTCTAGCCATTTCCATTAAGGTCATGTTACGTCTCTCTACCACTCCATTCTGCTGCGAAGTGTATGGAGCCGTGAGGAACCTTTTGATGCATGATTCCTTACAGAAAGAATTGAATTAAGAGGATACAAACTCTCCTCCTCTGTCTGTTCTAAAAGTTTATATCTTTGATTCACATTCTTTTTCTACCAAAGTCTTGAAATTTTGAAACTTCTGAAATGCATCTCCCTTTTCTTTTAGTAGTATGGTCCACATGTAACAAGAAAAATCGTCAATGAGTACAAACATATACCTGTTTCCAGCGCTTGTGCTTGGTGTTATTGGTCCACAAAGATATCCATGGATCAATTCAAGCTTCTTGGTTGCTCTGTAGGTAGTTTCTTGTGGAAACATTTGTCTTGTTTGCTTTCCAAGCAAGCAAGAGCTGCAGATCTCTTTCTCAATTGTGAAAGATAAAGCTCCTTGAACAAGTTCTTTATCAATCATGTTTTTTAAACTTGCAAGATTTAAGTGTCCCATTCTTGCATGCCATCGACATGAATCATTTATTAGTTGTCAAGTATAGGCTTGCTTTGTTCTTCAACCCCATCCGGACTTTGTATAGCCTTTTCTTAGATCTTTATGACTTTAATAGTAATTTCCCATCCTGATCAAGCATGGTTAGGTATCCTCCTTTCAATCTTATATCACATCCTAATTCAGTAGCATGTCCAAGACTTATGATGTTGCTTTTGAAATCGGGTATAAAATACACGTCAATCATTACTCTTGATCTTCCATTTGCATCCGGGAAAGCTATTGTACCCTTACCTTTGATGTCAATACGAGAATCATCTCCAAACCTCACTTTCCCGGTAACAGTTTCATCAAGTTGATAAAAGTACCTTTTATCACCAGTCATATGGTTACTAGCACCATTATCAAGGTACCAACATTCTTCTCCATCGATATTTGTCTCAAAGTTACTAGGTACACAATGCTTCTTGTTTAAGTAAACAACTTCATTCATCATAAGTTCATCAGTATTCTGTGTGTCTTTGGCTTCATTCTCCTGTGTCATTTGTAGCTTAAGAAACCGGTCTGGACACTGTGAGGCAAAGTGACCGTTTTTATCACATCGGCAGCATGTTATTTGCGAGAGGTCTCTTCCTTCGTATCGACCACGACTTCTACCCCTGTAGGTGCCTCTGCCTCCTCGTCCTGTGCTTATGTAGTCTCCATTGTAGTTTGCTTCTGCGTTTGTGTACATCAATTTGCTTTGGTTATCTTGAGCTTCTTCGTCATCATTGATACGTTCCTCATATGCTTTAAGGCGTCCAACAATATCCTCGAAAGTTTTGGTTTTAAGATCTAAAACCTGTTCGAGAGAAACCACGTTATGAATATACTTTTTACGCGGAAGACTCTTAAGAAACTTTTAGACAAGTTTAGTTGATTCAATGCTTTCTCATAGTGCATATAGCTTTTCAGAGAAGACATCAATAGTCTCTGAATCTTTCATCTTAAGACGATCAAACTCTGCCATCAAAGTCTGTAGTCTTGCTTCTTTTACTCTTTCTACTCCAACATGCCTTGGTTTAATCGCCTCCCATACCTTCTTTACAGTATCTAACTCTCCGATTTGCAAAACCAGTGTCTCGGGTATTGATTGGAAAAGCAAAGCTATAGCCATGTCATTCTTATACTTGTCAACAACATTGGTTTCGATAACATTCCATGCCTTGTGTACCTTGTGAGCGATCTTCATCTTCATAGCCCACACCGTATCGTTTATTGAATTCAGCATAGGGCACTGAATCGATGAAGCTCCTCCTCCTCCTTCTTTCTTTCCCGTCACGACTGCAAGTTCTGACATCTTCTCTGTTCACTATTTTTCTTGTGTCTCTGATAACAAATATATATGTTCTCCTACACCAAACTTTAGCCCACACCCCTAGGTCCACATTTTTCAACCTAAGTTCTGATACCATTTATTGGGCTTTCTAAGTCCAATCCAACTCCCATTAGTATGATATTATCCGCTTTGGGCCTATAAGCTCAAGTCCGCACGGATTTGTTATTGGACTCCTTCCCAAAGGCCTCATACTAATTGGAGTTGGACGTTACTTATATATTAGAAACTTCTTTTCTAATTTTCCGATGTGGGACGTTGGTTTGTACCCAACAGTAGCCAATGAGCTGCCACATAGAGGATGAAGCTGCCGGATACAAGCATATCAATTACGGACAATATAAATGGGTTGAATGAATGTAATGAGAGGTGTTCTAAGGATTGTAGTTGTACTGGATTTGCGAATAAGAATATCCGAAAATGGTGGGTCAGGTTGTGTAATTTGGACTGGAGAGCTAAGGGATATAAGAATTTACGTCGCCAAAGATCAAGATCTGTATGTCAGAATAGGCCTCTAAAATTAGGCATGGATTGGATATTTTAAAATTTTAGAAGATCACAAATTCATATGATCTATGATTTATAGATATCCATATCCTCTAAAAATAATTAAGAATCATAATACAAAATTTGAAGTATTATTTTGGAATCCAGCTTTGGAAAGTACATACTCCATATATAACTTCAATTTTATAATGGATTAGATCGAAAATGTATTTGATTTCAGAGCATTTTACCCTTGCAAGACCATGTTACATTTGAAAGTTATCATTGTGCATATGCCTTTTTAGTTTATGTTGAACTAATTCGAATGATGAATAAAAACGTAAATTAAATATTGTATGGCTCTAGTTTCTTTGTTACTTAAAAAAAATGGTAGTTGTTATATAAGGGTAACATTCAAATCACAAAAACACATAGACACTTCGACACAAGGAAATATTAGTTTAGTGTTTCAAAAGAGACCGGAGCACCAATCTTGCTCCCAACTCTACGGACACAATCGTTCCATGTCTGTTTGCTTCTTGGAATAGATGCAATATTTTTATACTCATACGACGAGAATATGATTTTAATCAATCCGAGATGGCAATCTTTGCCAATCTTCAATATATCACGACAACATTCATCTGTCACTAGGTTTTTCTCATCCAACACGTTCTGGAAAATCTCACCTCCGCATATGGAGCTCGGCTTTTCAGCGCAAGCCTTAAGAAAATCAATCTCTTTTTGCGAGTAATGGGGAAGCTTCATGTCATATTCCATTGCGGGTGAATTAGCTTCTTCGAATGGAGTTGGAGATATGACTACATCTTCATGTACCTCCTGGGAAAAACTTGGACGAGCCATGTAAAACATTACAATGGATACAAGCATGACCATGAGAAGAGACTTTGCCATATTTACTTTTGGTTTTGGATGTAAGATTGGTAACATGAAAAAAAAAGAGATGTTATATAGGGCAATTAGTGAGGGTATTTAATTGATAAACTGTTTATATGTTAATAGTTTTATGTTACTGACTTCATAAACTTCTATATTTAATAGTTTTGTTTAGAATACGTTTACAATAGAGACTTATAAGATTCTTTAAAAGTTGTAACTTACAAGTTGAAAACTCCTGTTTTCTTAAGGTTATTACAAATCAAAGTGATACATTAGACACAACATGATTACACGAATTGAAAAAAAAAAAAAGATAAAAGAAAGAACTGTGATTATCTTTGGTTATAATGAGGACGATAGTGGAGACATTCAATCTGAAATATAGCGGGTAGTAGTCATGGGAAGTATATGATGCTTAGACGATGATAAAAACGTGTGTTTTCGATAACTTGAATTTGTTTGGGGCGAGTATTTAGTTTGATTTTTACTCTTTGTTCCTCTCCCATCCCGTCTCGTAATTCCTATTCTCATTTCATTCCACTAAAATCATGTTCCAAATTCTTGGTTGCTTATCTTTAAATACCATACAATATATATGGTGAGTCTTGCGGATTAATATGTATGCTGTTAAAGTTACAAATATATTTTAACAAATTTATTGATGTTTCTTTTCTTAGCTAAATCATGCATATTTTTCTTTTCATTTATTAATCATAATAAATTCGATTTTTTGGACTAAAAATAAAAATTTGAGATACGTCTATAAAAAGGGTATGCTATTGATGTATAATTTGTTTTGAATGCAAAATATATAATTAGTTCACAATATTTCGAAAACTGTGTGCAATATATTATGGATTTATTTAAAGAAGATCCGGTTAAAAAGGAAAAAATAAAACACAAAATATTTCGAAATTAGTATATACAATCTATTGTTTAGATATTTTCGAAACTTGCACTAAACGAAGGCCATAATGATAATTACTTTAAATTTATTATTATTTGAGTTTATTTCATAGTAAATATAAATATTTGTTGATATCTAATATTTGTTTTAGAATTTGTGAAATAAAATTTCGTATTATATTTAAAAATTTGTGAAATTATTATAACAAAACTGAAGCTTAAATATTTGTATTTAATTTTCTTACTAAATTTCAAAGTCAATCTCTAAATCCTCCAGTGATAAAAATTTTTAAACGATAGTGTTTTTAATTTTGAATTAAAATCATATTACTTTTCTTTTTATTTTTGATAAAGAATAGTCTATTAAGATTGGTTTAGATATAATCTTAGTTGGATATCAAATCTTATTTTTTCAATTTTCATTGGTTGACAATTTTTTAGAAATTAAATTCAAATTTTCTTCCATAATTAATAAGAGAGAGAAAATGAGTTTAATTTTTTGGAAACTAATAATGACTTAAAAGAATTTTAATATTTCTATTTTTATTTAAATATATTAATTTTGTGATTACTATTGTACCTTTAATGAATTTATTTAAAAACCTTAAAAACTAATGGCATCTTATGTAATATTTTACCTTTTATAAGGTTATTTAATATCTAGTGATTCTCAATTAATAGTATAGATTAGTCTACCCATATATTATTGGGAGAATTTCACTCTAACATACTTTCTCAACTTCTCTCTCAATATAACACACTTTCTGAGTTTTCCATCTTTTTTTAACTGTACAAAATTAATCAATACCACTTTGCCCCTGCACGTGGCAGAACTCGTGAACGAACCTGATTAAAATGGAAAGAGTAAGTTGGCTTTGTTAAGTTATAGGGACGAGTAGTTACGGGATTCAATTAAAAATTATGTTAATTAAAATAGACGGAAGTCTCTTATATCTGATAATTAGGGTTAAGTAAGCAGAATAGAAATGGTGAGAGAGGAAGTCTCGAAGATGGGGACGGTGAGTTGTTCGAAGAGTATAGTTCAATCATTCAACTTGTTCAGCTTTCATACTTTGTTAAATGTGTTCAGCTTTCATACTTTGTTAAATGTTTTTGGTAAAGTTGTTCTCATCTAATTGTTCAATTTGTGGATCTAAATGTTAGCATTAATTTCGATACAGGGAAGATGGCACTGCTATGTTATGTGCGGGGAGTGGTTGTGTAAAGGTTGTGGAAAATGGGAATTTCAAGTTGATCAGGGTAGGAAATCTAGGATCGTTCCTGTATTTGAAGGCATGAACCTGTTGGAGATGAAGGAAACTGTTTCATCTGAGTTCGGGGTTTATACTCAAATGACGCTAAGTTACTGGTCCCCAGAAAGCCTCAAATTCGTGACAGGAGTGAAAACACCTCCTGTAATGGTTACTACAGAAGTTGGATTAGATTTATTTCTGAAGATTGCTGTAAAGAACGACTCAATGAACTTGTTTGTGACATTTGAAGAACCGAAGGATAATCTGAATCGGATAAGTGATGAGAGATCTGGTGGAACAGGTTGGAGCGATGAAATTCCTACTGGAGGAGCATCTATTAGGTTGGATGATGAGGATTTACTTGCTAATGTCTTGTTGGTTGAACAAAGAAAAGACCGTAAGAGAGGGCCAATTGTTAGCGAGGCAGATTGTACTTTTGGGTCGGATAGGTTGGAGCTTAGTCAAGGAGAATCGTCAGATGAACAGGGTGACGACACGCCAGAGGATTCTATTGGCGGTGATGATTATGTGAGGCCAGCAGGTTATGATCAAGATTTCTGGAATAATTTCCTAGAAGAAGATTTGGGAGGTACAGACGCGGTTGATGTAATGTGCAGTGGTGGAGAATCAGGTGTGTTTATACAGGATGGAGTTGGGTTAGCCGGTATACAAGCAGGATGGTCAGATCCACTAGTACAGGCTCCAGCTGAAACACGAGATTTAATAGATATAGATGATGAGGAGTTTGATATCCCCCCTTTGTTTGACGACACTGAGTATGAGACAGAGCCAATACCTGATCTTGACAGAGAAGCTGATGATGAGGTTTACAGAGGGAAGTTATATGCAAGTAAAGAGGATTGTCAAATTGGCTTAGCAATATATGCTATCAGAAATATGTTTCATTACAAGCAAACAGTGACAAAGCGAGAGTCCTTTGTGTGTAATTGTTCTGATGAATGTTGTGAGTGGAGGATACTGGCTGTGGAAAAGAGGGAGAGTGGGTATTATGAGATTAAAAAAGCACACCTGGAGCACACATGCTCAACCGAGACAAGACAGAAGTACATGAAGAAAGCAACAGCGAAGGTTATAGCTGCTATATATAAGGGTAAATTTGGTGAGCCAGTAAAAGGTCCAAAAGCAATGGATATGCAGCAACTAGTACTCGAGGAACTAAGGGTATCAACTTCATACTTGAAGTGTTGGAGGGCGAGAGAGAAAGCTGTTGAGGAAGTGCATGGGGATGATCTTGATGCTTTTTCAAAGTTGGAAGAATATTTGCATCTACTTAAACTTGCGAATCCAGGGACAATAACAGATATTGTTACAGACACGTCGGAAGCTGGAAAAGAGAGGTTTGTATATATGTTCTTGGCATTTGGGGCATCGATAACAGGGTTTAGGAAACTAAGAAGGGTTCTAGTAGTGGACGGTACACATTTTAGAGGGACCTATAAAGGAGTGTTGTTGACAGCTAGTGGTCAAGATGCAAATTTCCAAGTATTTCCGTTGGCGTTCGCAGTTGTGGATAGCGAGAATGATGCGTCTTGGACGTGGTTCTTCCAGAAGGTGGAGCGAATAATTGCTGACAGCCCAAGTCTTACTATAATCTCAGACAGACACCGATCCATTTATTCTGCAAAAGAAAGAGTATTCCCAAAGGCATATCATGGGGCGTGTATAGTTCATTTGGAGAGGAATGTAACTGCCAGATTCAAGAACAAAGGGCTGGGGAGGATGGTCAGAAATGCTGGATGCGAGTATAAAGTGTCTTCTTTTAATAAGATATACAAGGAGATAAAATCACGGAACAATGAGTGTGCAGTATACTTACATAACATTGGAATGGCTCATTGGATAAGAGCATATTTCCAAGGGGAAAGGTACAATCTCATGACAAGCAACATAGCTGAGAGTTTGAATAAGGCGCTGAAAGAAGGAAGGGCTTCACCAATTGTTGAGTTGCTGGAGTTTATACGCGCTATGCTTACAAGGTGGTTTAGTGCTAGAAGGAAAAAATCACAAAAACATAAGGGGCTGGTGCCACCATATGTGGACAAGGTTATGTTGAAAACAATGTTTAGGATGTCAGGGAGCAAAATAGGAACTGTAACTGATTGGAGTTATGAGATTGTTGGTCAGTTTGGTGAAAAACATCATGTTCACCTAAATGAGAAGAAATGTACTTGTAAGTCATATGATAAACTGAAAATTCCCTGTGGGCATGCAATGATGGCAGCAAACCATATTGGAGTACCGTATGCATCGTTGGTAGGCGATTGTTACAAACCAGCTACGTGGGCAGCGACATATGAGGGAGTTGTGAATACTCCAAAGGATGAGGACGGTGTTGAAATGCCAGTGAGCTTTAAGAATCGTCTTATCCTGCCTCCACACACTAGGAGGCCAACTGGAAGGCCTAGGGAGTTGAGGATTCCATCAATTGGCGAATTCAAAGTGAGTGTTACATATAAATAAAAGTGGCTGTTTGGTATACGTTTAATGCTCTGTGGATACGTTTAATGCTCTGATAATTTGTAATTTTGTGTTAATATGTGTTACAATACATTTAATTGATCTTGCCCTGTAGAAAACGAAGAAGGCAAAGCTGAAACTGAACAAGTGTTCCAGATGCAAAGGCACAGGACACAACAGAACAAGATGCACCAACCCAATATGAAGGATGATGTGGAAGAAAGTAGAGTGAGGAGAGGATGGAGTTGGAGGAACTAGGTAAGATAATATTGGCTGGTATATGACAAGGGTTAGAAATCCACATCAAATATGGGATGGTTTTAGGGGTATCCATAATTTGTATGTTGTGGATACTTATGACACCATCTTGAAGTCCCTTTTGATTAGAATTATGTTATTAGTATGAACATATCAGGTGCGTGAGATGGTGGAGGTGGTGTCTTGTTGAATCTTTGATGTTTTGTATACTGATGAAACCATTCCTTTTTGTGAAGGTTCGATATGTGGTACATCTGCTCCCTACAAAATTTTATAAAATGATGTTTAGCGTTAAACTCAGATAGAGTAAACATAAAATTGCGATACACATAAAATTTGCTTGTGATAACGATTTTAAATTAGTTTAGTTTTCATACTATGTGGATGGGGACTGGTTGATTGGAACGAAAGCATGAACCGATTGGAAGGCTTGTGGAATTTATACAAAATACACAATATTTAGGTTAGTATTACGGAATAAACTGTATATATGATTGTAATCCAAAATTGGAAGCCATGTGGTTAGTATTTTAGTTGTGATTCTATGAGAAATATCAACATGTGGTTTTGTATTTGACTCTATTCACGAATGTAAAATTTCTTTCAGACTATGCGTATAGTTACTGGTTGGTAGTATACAAGTATGATTGGATTAAGCGCCAGTATATATAAATTGATTGTTGGTTACGATTGGAAGTCTTGTGGATATATATATAAATGCATTCTATGTGGATAGGAACTGGTGGTTAGAAAATTGCAAAAGGAGAAAAAATGCATGGGCCTCCGTAAGCGTAAAAATGTTAGAAAGCATAGATATTATAATGGGAAAATTGATTGGTACTCACTAACTATCCATAATATGAAACGGGATTTTGAATCCACTAACATCAATCCGAGTAGGAGCTGTATTAATCTGGCATGGAATTTGGAAGTGAAAATTTTAAAAAAGCCAAGTTGCGAGGGACGATGATTTGCTAGAGTTAGCATTACATACCAACCAAGATATATGTAGGTACTGTGTCTTCAACGATGTAGTCGAATGGTGTGAATTTGTTGAATAGGGTTGTTTCCTTCGCGTCCGCACATGTGACGATAGTTTGATCCATAAACCAGATTGCATGATCGTTCAATGTAGCTCTCACTGAATCTGGAATACGACCATGTTGGAATGTGGTTATTTTTTTCCATAGCTTCTCCTTGATTGACGGCAAGTACACAGAAACTTAACGGCTGGGTATGATCGCCTCCAAATGAGCACCCTAAAATAACGTATGAATTTTAAAGTTAGAGTAAACCTTATAATAACAACCGATAAAAAACTACCAGGGTAAAATAGGGAGATATGAAAACACATGTTTACCGATTCATCAACCAATATGCAACGTAGTTCGAAGTAGTTAGAAGTGATTATTTTTTTGTAAACCCTAAGAACTAGGACGCAAATTGTCCAGCCTGTTATAAGAGGGGACAAGTCGTGGAGCATGTGGTAAGGATTCATGGTGGTTGTTAAGTCGTGGAGCATTTGGTTGATAACGGGTATATAAATATGATTGGTATGTGAAAGGACGGCAATGAATTCATGGAATCCAACGTACAGAACGAAAACTGTTAGCAGATTGGTAACCGTTCCCATAAACATCCTGTTATCAATTAACCGTCGCAAGTTAATGAGTTATACGTAATCCACAAGAACAAGGCCACGCGGTAAAGTACATAAATGTTATTGGATCAATCCTATATAACGGGATATAACGGAAAGCCCAAAAAGAGCCCTTCAAAAGACGATTATACCCTCTTCGCAAACACATACTCGATTCTCTGAATCATTTCTCCCCCAAATCAAAAAGAAATTAGGGTTAGGGTTCTCCAGAAACCTCTCTTCTCTCTTCTCTGACTCGATTATGTCTACTCAGAGCTCTAGATCCGACAACAGCAACAAAAGTTATGGAGAGGCTAGCTGGGGACGTGCTTGTAACTGTGGTAGGTCTACAATTAAATTGAAGGCATGGACAGATGATAATCCAGGACGAAGATTTTACAAATGTGATGTCCATGGCTTTGTATCATGGGTTGATGTTGAGAAACAATGTAGTTGGCAGAAGATGTGTTTACTGGAGGCGCGGGATGAGATTCGGCGTTTGAAATCTCTTATTCAGACAACGAGCTCGGGAGTTAACAAAGAAGAAGATAATCAAAATCTCGAACCAGGAAATCAGAAGATCGAAGAAGAGAAGAAAAAGCTTGAAGGTGAGAAGGTAAAGCTTGAAGCTGAGAAGAAAAAGTTCGAAGACTTGAAGAAAAGGCTTGAAGATGAAGCAAAGGTATCAAAAGAGCGTGAAAAATTACTGAGACAATTTATTGGAATCTCGTGGGGAGGATTCATTGTAGCCATTGCCATAATCATAACAATTTTAAAGTAGTTTGAAGTTGGTCAGTTGTGATGTTAGCAATTACGTTTCTTGTTTGGTGTTTTGTTGTTGTGATAAGTAGATTTAATGCTTATGTTGTAAGATGTTTGTGACTCCTAAGGTGTTTGGCTAAAACAAACTGATTGAAAAAGATATTCATGGTTCAAAACAGACATAACATCTAAAAGATAGAAGGATCCTACAAGTCTTGATTCAAAAAGAACACATAAGTAGAGACTTCAAGGTTGCCACGCATCAAAGACACCGCCAATCCAAAGTGACATGCATCCTATTGTTAACACTTATTCGTAGTTGTATAATGAGTTAGGCATAATCCAGAAGATATATATATAAATGCATTCTATGTGGATAGGAACTGTTGGTTAGGAGTCCGCCAAGTTAGATTTCATACTATGTGGACAGGGACAGTTGGTTAGTAAACTCTTAACCTAAAGTTTAATTTTGATTAAAGCGATAAACATAAAATTACATTGAAGTCTTTTGAAGGTACGGATAAATGGAAAACAAAACAGACAACGTACTACAATTCCATAGTAGATGCATATCTCACAAAAGGTTAAAATAAATGGAGAATAATAAGATATTTGGAGAATAAACAATAAGATTGAAGCCCAGCATCATGTTCAAGCAATATGACAGGTTGTAAATTTAGTCAACGACCTGTAGTTAAAAATTACAACCAAATAATCACTTCTTAGGTAGGAGATATAATTGACATAATTTATTACTGCAGGGTAGAATATATCACTAACCATTTTGATATCGTCAACATCCTCTATGGCTGGTTCCGGGAAAATTTCAGAGATAGTGCCATGGCTAACTATCTTAACTTGTTCGCCTCTCCATGTTGGCCTGAGAATCTTCCACCATTGAAGGGCAATCACAACATTGGGACGACCATATCGGAGATAGTTAGAAGAGAAGTCAATGGCAGTCTGGCCCAATGCCTCACACTTCAAAATAACTTTGCTAAGGAAGTTTGAAAAACGTGTTAAAATGAATGTGGGTGTATATGATAAGTGGGTGGAAAACATTCGAGATATAGAATATAAAATTGTTCAATTTATAGGTTCTCACTTTCTATCCATTATATGAAACGGGAGGGTGTACCCACTAACATCATTCCTGGTTGGAGTCGTGTTGGTCAAGTTCCCAACGTAGACAAGTGCACCAAGCAAATCTTCAAAGCAGTATTGAAATAAATTATATAACAAAACGGTGTGATTTATATAGAGAATTCAGTCAAGCGTTACGTACCAACCAAGATACTTGTAGGTACTGTATCTTCAACAATGTAGTCGAATGGTGTGAAGTTGTTAAAAAGGTTTGTTTCCTTTGCGTCGGCAGATGTGACGATGGTTTGATCCATAAACCAGATAGCAAGGTCGTGCTTGGTGGCTCTAACTGGATCTAGAATCCGGCGTACTTGGAATGTTGAAATGTTTTTCCATTGATTTTGCTTGATTGATGGCAAATAGACTGGAACGTAACGATTGGGTATGATTGCCTCCATATGGTCCCCCTAGTATAACGTTGGAATGGAAAAGATACATAATATAAAAAAATGTAAAACGAGTATGAAAAAATGTAAAGTGTGAAGATGTTTACCGCTGTATCAACCAAGATGCAGCGAAGTTCGTAGTTGTTAGAAGTGATAATTTTTTTATAAACCCTAACAACTAGGACACATATCGTCCACCCTGTAATAACAGGCGACAAGTCGTGGAGCATGTGGTAAGGTTTCATGGGGGGTGAAGTTTGGAAGTGGGATCGTGTTTAATTAGGGTTGAGAAATATATAGTAATGGTAAGCGAAAGGACGTCATTAGATTCATGGAATGTAACGTTAACAGATATGACTCTTTGAATGTAACCGTTTCCAATGGCCTCCATTTAAAAAATAACCGTCGGTGATATAGCATAAAATATTGTCACATGTAGTGTCCACATGGATTATACTACAGGCTCATCAAACATAAGATCGGTATGCAACTAGTAGTATCCACAAATGCTATATGTTGTCAGATATGACTCTTTTTATGAATCCTAACCCAATAACGTCCAGTGTAATACGCTGGAAATGACCACATGGTTATACTCCATGTTCATCTTTTACTGTTTTCCGTATCCACGTAGTATAATATGTTTTCAGATGTGATTATCGGACAAACTCTTATGTTGTGATGATCGCAAACTTGACACATCAACAAAATTAAACGATACAAGAAGATTATTTATAGCATAAAGCAGAACAGAAATAACAGAAAGTTATAATGCATGGTTTGAAATTAAAATAAACTGTTAGGATAATAGACACAAATCAAGACAATAGCATAATATCTCGAGATAGGTAGAAATAGATGCAATCAAGGCACCGTTCGCCGTTGAACTCTCTTAGCCAGTCATGATCTTGCCAACACTCAGGGAAGTCTTCGAATTCCCATGTTAAACCGTAACTCCCACATCGAGATGGCCCAACTGAGTTAATGTGGAACATCAACGTATCTGACATGTAGTCGATGTCGTTGAAGGAGTACATGTTACGGAATTCGTAGTACACTTGGTCGTCTAGTGTACCTGCACAGCTGTGCAACATGATCCATAGAAGTTTAGCTAGAGGGAGCAGATGTTTGATAGTATCTAGATTGTCTAGAGCCGCAGAAAGATTTAGATCTGTGAAACTATAATGTATGCTTTGGGCATACAAAGCATAAGGATTTCCATGGTGTAGGCACATGGAGAAGATGTTATAGTACGAACTGGAAGGTTTCGCCCATTCAACGAAATCTTCATTCTTATCCAGCCTGATAACAGATAGCGTTTCCGGAGAAAATACAGCTGCAAAGGCCTCAGGGCCAGCAACTACCCAATTTTTGAGTTCGACAAGCCCTTCTTCAGCGACATAGCTAACTATTCTGGCCAACAAAGCAGCAGGGATATGGAAGTTTGGCGAAGGATGTGCCTGGTAAGTTTATACCACGAAGTTCAAGTATAGTAATATTAGTACATCAATAAGAGTAAGAAAGAGGTGAATTACCTGGTTTTCGAATGGCACAATTGGATGGCGGATGGGGGGGACAAGTCGAGGTCTGGGAGGAGAGGTGAGAGCACTTTGTGGACGGTAATAATGCCGTGGAGGTGGTAGAGGGTTTTGATACATCTCATTTAGAAGGATGCAATGTGGTTTATGTCGGTGCGGATAGGTGTAGTAAGAGTATTCTCTGTCACGTGGAAAAGAATCAATAATAAATAGGGTGGCGTTAGGGAGTGTCAATAGGATGATATGTTATTTTAATATTATAACATAACAGTAGCCAAATGGATTGGTTGTTATGGTTAAGAGTATTCTCTGTCACGTGGAAAAGAATCAATAATAAATAGGTTGGCGTTAGGGAGTGTCAATAGGATGATATGTTATTTTAATATTATAACATAACAGTATCCAAATGGATTGGTTGTTATGGTTAAGTATCATCCAAAAGTTTGGATATTTTTGGATGGATAATTTCCCAAACCTTCAGTTGCCCTATATATAACAAGTATGCACAGGCTTAGAGCAGGTATTAGGAAAACAAACCACATAAGTAGAAGTGAGTTTCAGTTCAGTTTAGTTTCCAACAACCGAACCTTAAATGTCTTCCTCGAGTTCATCAAGATCGGTGGATCGCCCAAGCGTTGGGCGGAACGATAGTGAGAGAGGAATTCCCAAAAAATGCTACTGTGGTGCTCCACCAATACTCAAAAACTCAATGGGGAGAGAGTACCCTGGACGGAGATATTTTACGTGCGAAATGGTCGAGGTAATTATATAGATTTTGTTTCCCATTGAGTAGAGTTTGTGAATGTTAGAGTATTTTTCGAAAATGGAATGTGTTAGGACGGAGGTGTCCACATCGGGAAATGGTGGGATGAAGCAATGATGGAGGAAGCGACAATGCTGAGGCTGGAGTTGGAGGACGAAACGGAGAGGATGCGCCGGAGCAAGATGGAAAAGATGCGTGAGAAAATCCAGACACATAAAGAGGAGATAGAAATCTTGTTCGAGCTCCATGCAAACCATCAGAATGCTGTAGCATTGTTGAAGGAGGAAATATCTAAGAAGAGCGATGGACAATCATTGGCTTTGCTGAAGGAGGAGGTAGCGAAGAAGAGCGATGGAATAGCAGTTGAGCTGCGAAACGTGTTCGTGGGGATAGTTTTGGTTGTAGGTCTCCTTATATATGTTCTTAAGTAGTGACAACTTGGATGGATCCTTAAAACCGTAATCGTTGTTACATTGCAAATCTCTATTTACATTGTGCGATTGATGTTATTAAGTGAAGTAGTTTGGTTTTATGGAAGATTATTTGCGAGTGTGATTATATTATGAACACATGTGTGTGAACAGATGTGTGTGGACATTCCAGGATGAATATCCATATTGAAATCAGACAGTCCATTTAAACTCCATGATGTTCGGAAAAATGTGGACACCTTAAGCATAATACAAACCTATTTTGACCTGGAAACTGTAACTTGGGAAATAGCATTGATGTATGGTCTTAAATATTAGGGAATCCCTGTGAGTGTGATTATTTGCGAGTGTGATTATATTATGAACACATGTGTGTGAACAGATGTATGTGGACATTCCAGGATGAATATCCATATTGAAATCAGATAGTCAATTCAAACTGCATGATGTTCGAAATAATGTGGACACCTTAAGCATAATACAAACCTATTTTGACCTGGAAACTGTAACTTGGGAAATAGCATTGATGTATGGTCTTAAATATTAGGGAATCCCTGTGAGTGTGATTATTTGCGAGTGTGATTATATTATGAACACATATGTGTGAACAGATGTATGTGGACATTCCAGGATGAATATCCATATTGAAATCAGATAGTCAATTCAAACTGCATGATGTTCGAAATAATGTGGACACCTTAAGCATAATACAAACTATTTTGACCGGGAAACTGTAACTTGGGAAATTGCATTGCTGTATGGTCTTAAAGTATACATAAACCTCTTGAATAAAAGCTAATGCAAGACACGCAATGAACCACATGAACCAAAAGATACGATATTAAAAGGATGTTGGCGTCAAAGTACATAATAAAGCTTAGTAGATGAGTAATTAAGCTTAACCCATCATCGCATATTACGTTAAATTACGGTTGAAAACGGTATCGGCATTGGCGATTGGTGTGACCTGGACGGGTGCAACGGCCGCACCTTGGCTGGCCAATGACTCTATGCATTGTCGGCGGTTGGTACAAGTACCCAACAGACTGTTGTCCCCCGAAGTCAACACGCGTTGGTACGAAGTGTTTGTATGCCAACGCCCAGTGGCCCCTCCTATAGCAAGAGTTAACCAAAGATTCGTAGGCCAACCCTTTACTCATCTCAGCAAACATGGCATACTTGTTTTTTTGAGATAGACATTTCTGGAAGAAGGCGTAGTATGTTGAGTGAGGCATGGACCACCAAATAAAATGTGGGGACTTGTCAAGACGGACCCGACTTAGTGTTTCGTATGACAAAGCAGCCTCCACGCCTTCACGACCAGCCAGAATCCAGTTTTTAAGCTCTCCTACGCCCTCTTCGGCAACAAGACTTGCTATTTTGGCAAGCAAGGGAGCAGGGATGTAAATCTCATGAGATAGACATTTCTGAGATAAAAACTCCGGGAGTTAACACCATTATATTAAAAATCAATCAATCAATCATTATATTGACGCTATTTTCAACCCCCTTTATTTGATACCTTTTCCCAAGCCTGACAACAATCAATCATTATATTTTCCAATGGTTATTACAGTACAGTTTTGTCAACATTTAAATATCCAAAAAATTAAACAATGCTTCCCCATGCAATTTTCTGATTTTACAGTCTGTCCACGATTTAATAGATGTTCACTCTATTCTGGCCAACGACTATTCGACATAAGAGTGTACATTCATGAGGTCACTTCTCCATAAATTGATGCCTTTATAGTGAAGCTTTATTATTACCCCTCAGTCTCTCCACGTTTGACAGGAGTGCGTGGCTATATCGAGATATAAATTACCAAATGGATTCTTATATATGTTCAATGTTTAATAGACACGCGTAGTGGCCAATGAACATACGACATAAGTTCAGCGTCATGGATACTTCCCGGTTTAAGTATATTTTTAGCCGCCAAACAACATACGTCATACGTTCAGTCTAATGATATTTCCCATTTATAAATTGTATAATATTTTGTTTCTCTTGTTTCAAACCCCCCTCATCTTTATATATCCCTTCCTCTATTATTCAGCAGATCATCTCGTGCTTGCTCCCAAACATACAAGTTCACTATGATTAACGCTGGAAATGGCCAAGTTTCCCAACAACATCCCACTCAATCCCGATCACAGGTAGTAACAACTATTTATAATTATCAATCTTATATTTTGTTTATCTGGGTGCATGACTTCTCTGTATTTACAGGAAACAATTCCCCTTCAGTTTCACATTCCAGCTCCCTTACTTGCCAAAATAGCCAGTATTGTTGCTGAAGAAGGCGTCGATGAATTGAAGAACTGGATTCTAGCTGGCCGTGAAGGAGTAGAGGCTGCATTGTCAACTGAAACACTTAGTCGTGTGCGTCTCGACAAATCCCCACATTTCCTATGGTGGTCGATGCCCCACTCTACTTACCACTCCTTCTTCCAGAAATGCTTAAAGCACAACAATCCCTTTGCTGTTTTCGCTGATAGGAGTAGAGGTCTAGCTTACCAGAGTTTGGTCAATTCTTGCTACCGGCAGGGTCATTGGTTGTTGGCTTACAAACACTTTACTCCAACTACTCTCGAGTTTGAAGGCAATGAAACCGTTGGCTATCTCCTACAACCGCCAACTAAGCATACCATAATTGGCAGGCCCAGATGTGCCAGATGCAGACGCCCAGGTCACTCAAGCAGCAACTGCCCTACTAGATATAATTGAGATGTGGAATCGGCTTTAATGCATCTTTTGTGTGTTTATTATTCTGGTTTTACAAGTATTACCCCTAAAATCTGTTGGTTTATCGTTAACCTTCACTGTTTATTCCAAGTCAGTTATTTCCGATTCAGTTTAAATTTTTGTTTACCCATCAAAAAAGATGAACATGTCTGTTATTGGTAACGGTTACTTCAAAATAGTCATATCTGAAAACATATTATACTACGTGGATACGGAAAACAATAAAAGATGAACATGGAGTATAACCATGTGGTCATTTCCAGCGTATTACACTGGACGTTATTGGGTTAGGATTCATAAAAAGAGTCATATCTGACAACATATAGCATTTGTGGATACTACTAGTTGCATATCGATCTTATGTTTGATGAGCCTGTAGTATAATCCATGTGGACACTACATGTGACAATATTTTATGCTATATCACCGACGGTTATTTTTTAAATGGAGGCCATTGGAAACGGTTACATTCAAAGAGTCATATCTGTTAACGTTACATTCCATGAATCTAATGACGTCCTTTCGCTTACCATTACTATATATTTCTCAACCCTAATTAAACACGATCCCACTTCCAAACTTCACCCCCCATGAAACCTTACCACATGCTCCACGACTTGTCGCCTGTTATTACAGGGTGGACGATATGTGTCCTAGTTGTTAGGGTTTATAAAAAAATTATCACTTCTAACAACTACGAACTTCGCTGCATCTTGGTTGATACAGCGGTAAACATCTTCACACTTTACATTTTTTCATACTCGTTTTACATTTTTTTATATTATGTATCTTTTCCATTCCAACGTTATACTAGGGGGACCATATGGAGGCAATCATACCCAATCGTTACGTTCCAGTCTATTTGCCATCAATCAAGCAAAATCAATGGAAAAACATTTCAACATTCCAAGTACGCCGGATTCTAGATCCAGTTAGAGCCACCAAGCACGACCTTGCTATCTGGTTTATGGATCAAACCATCGTCACATCTGCCGACGCAAAGGAAACAAACCTTTTTAACAACTTCACACCATTCGACTACATTGTTGAAGATACAGTACCTACAAGTATCTTGGTTGGTACGTAACGCTTGACTGAATTCTCTATATAAATCACACCGTTTTGTTATATAATTTATTTCAATACTGCTTTGAAGATTTGCTTGGTGCACTTGTCTACGTTGGGAACTTGACCAACACGACTCCAACCAGGAATGATGTTAGTGGGTACACCCTCCCGTTTCATATAATGGATAGAAAGTGAGAACCTATAAATTGAACAATTTTATATTCTATATCTCGAATGTTTTCCACCCACTTATCATATACACCCACATTCATTTTAACACGTTTTTCAAACTTCCTTAGCAAAGTTATTTTGAAGTGTGAGGCATTGGGCCAGACTGCCATTGACTTCTCTTCTAACTATCTCCGATATGGTCGTCCCAATGTTGTGATTGCCCTTCAATGGTGGAAGATTCTCAGGCCAACATGGAGAGGCGAACAAGTTAAGATAGTTAGCCATGGCACTATCTCTGAAATTTTCCCGGAACCAGCCATAGAGGATGTTGACGATATCAAAATGGTTAGTAATATATTCTACCCTGCAGTAATAAATTATGTCAATTATATCTCCTACCTAAGAAGTGATTATTTGGTTGTAATTTTTAACTACAGGTCGTTGACTAAATTTACAACCTGTCATATTGCTTGAACATGATGCTGGGCTTCAATCTTATTGTTTCTTCTCCAAATATCTTATTCTTCTCCATTTATTTTAACCTTTTGTGAGATATGCATCTACTATGGAATTGTAGTACGTTGTCTGTTTTGTTTTCCATTTATCCGTACCTTCAAAAGACTTCAATGTAATTTTATGTTTATCGCTTTAATCAAAATTAAACTTTAGGTTAAGAGTTTACTAACCAACTGTCCCTGTCCACATAGTATGAAATCTAACTTGGTGGACTCCTAACCAACAGTTCCTATCCACATAGAATGCATTTATATATATATCTTCTGGATTATGCCTAACTCATTATACAACTACGAATAAGTGTTAACAATAGGATGCATGTCACTTTGGATTGGCGGTGTCTTTGATGCGTGGCAACCTTGAAGTCTCTACTTATGTGTTCTTTTTGAATCAAGACTTGTAGGATCCTTCTATCTTTTAGATGTTATGTCTGTTTTGAACCATGAATATCTTTTTCAATCAGTTTGTTTTAGCCAAACACCTTAGGAGTCACAAACATCTTACAACATAAGCATTAAATCTACTTATCACAACAACAAAACACCAAACAAGAAACGTAACTGCTAACATCACAACTAACCAACTTCAAACTACTTTAAAATTGTTATGATTATGGCAATGGCTACAATGAATCCTCCCCACGAGATTCCAATAAATTGTCTCAGTAATTTTTCACGCTCTTTTGATACCTTTGCTTCATCTTCAAGCCTTTTCTTCAAGTCTTCGAACTTTTTCTTCTCAGCTTCAAGCTTTACCTTCTCACCTTCAAGCTTTACCTTCTCACCTTCAAGCTTTTTCTTCTCTTCTTCGATCTTCTGATTTCCTGGTTCGAGATTTTGATTATCTTCTTCTTTGTTAACTCCCGAGCTCGTTGTCTGAATAAGAGATTTCAAACGCCGAATCTCATCCCGCGCCTCCAGTAAACACATCTTCTGCCAACTACATTGTTTCTCAACATCAACCCATGATACAAAGCCATGGACATCACATTTGTAAAATCTTCGTCCTGGATTATCATCTGTCCATGCCTTCAATTTAATTGTAGACCTACCACAGTTACAAGCACGTCCCCAGCTAGCCTCTCCATAACTTTTGTTGCTGTTGTCGGATCTAGAGCTCTGAGTAGACATAATCGAGTCAGAGAAGAGAGAAGAGAGGTTTCTGGAGAACCCTAACCCTAATTTGTTTTTGATTTGGGGGAGAAATGATTCAGAGAATCGAGTATGTGTTTGCGAAGAGGGTATAATCGTCTTTTGAAGGGCTCTTTTTGGGCTTTCCGTTATATCCCGTTATATAGGATTGATCCAATAACATTTATGTACTTTACCGCGTGGCCTTGTTCTTGTGGATTACGTATAACTCATTAACTTGCGACGGTTAATTGATAACAGGATGTTTATGGGAACGGTTACCAATCTGCTAACAGTTTTCGTTCTGTACGTTGGATTCCATGAATTCATTGCCGTCCTTTCACATACCAATCATATTTATATACCCGTTATCAACCAAATGCTCCACGACTTAACAACCACCATGAATCCTTACCACATGCTCCACGACTTGTCCCCTCTTATAACAGGCTGGACAATTTGCGTCCTAGTTCTTAGGGTTTACAAAAAAATAATCACTTCTAACTACTTCGAACTACGTTGCATATTGGTTGATGAATCGGTAAACATGTGTTTTCATATCTCCCTATTTTACCCTGGTAGTTTTTTATCGGTTGTTATTATAAGGTTTACTCTAACTTTAAAATTCATACGTTATTTTAGGGTGCTCATTTGGAGGCGATCATACCCAGCCGTTAAGTTTCTGTGTACTTGCCGTCAATCAAGGAGAAGCTATGGAAAAAAATAACCACATTCCAACATGGTCGTATTCCAGATTCAGTGAGAGCTACATTGAACGATCATGCAATCTGGTTTATGGATCAAACTATCGTCACATGTGCGGACGCGAAGGAAACAACCCTATTCAACAAATTCACACCATTCGACTACATCGTTGAAGACACAGTACCTACATATATCTTGGTTGGTATGTAATGCTAACTCTAGCAAATCATCGTCCCTCGCAACTTGGCTTTTTTAAAATTTTCACTTCCAAATTCCATGCCAGATTAATACAGCTCCTACTCGGATTGATGTTAGTGGATTCAAAATCCCGTTTCATATTATGGATAGTTAGTGAGTACCAATCAATTTTCCCATTATAATATCTATGCTTTCTAACATTTTTACGCTTACGGAGGCCCATGCATTTTTTCTCCTTTTGCAATTTTCTAACCACCAGTTCCTATCCACATAGAATGCATTTATATATATATCCACAAGACTTCCAATCGTAACCAACAATCAATTTATATATACTGGCGCTTAATCCAATCATACTTGTATACTACCAACCAGTAACTATACGCATAGTCTGAAAGAAATTTTACATTCGTGAATAGAGTCAAATACAAAACCACATGTTGATATTTCTCATAGAATCACAACTAAAATACTAACCACATGGCTTCCAATTTTGGATTACAATCATATATACAGTTTATTCCGTAATACTAACCTAAATATTGTGTATTTTGTATAAATTCCACAAGCCTTCCAATCGGTTCATGCTTTCGTTCCAATCAACCAGTCCCCATCCACATAGTATGAAAACTAAACTAATTTAAAATCGTTATCACAAGCAAATTTTATGTGTATCGCAATTTTATGTTTACTCTATCTGAGTTTAACGCTAAACATCATTTTATAAAATTTTGTAGGGAGCAGATGTACCACATATCGAACCTTCACAAAAAGGAATGGTTTCATCAGTATACAAAACATCAAAGATTCAACAAGACACCACCTCCACCATCTCACGCACCTGATATGTTCATACTAATAACATAATTCTAATCAAAAGGGACTTCAAGATGGTGTCATAAGTATCCACAACATACAAATTATGGATACCCCTAAAACCATCCCATATTTGATGTGGATTTCTAACCCTTGTCATATACCAGCCAATATTATCTTACCTAGTTCCTCCAACTCCATCCTCTCCTCACTCTACTTTCTTCCACATCATCCAATATTATTTTACCCTGGTAGTTTTTTATCGGTTGTTATTATAAGGTTTACTCTAACTTTAAAATTCATACGTTATTTTAGGGTGCTCATTTGGAGGCGATCATACCCAGCCTTCAGTTGCCCTATATATAACAAGTATGCACAGGCTTAGAGCAGGTATTAGGAAAACAAACCACATAAGTAGAAGTGAGTTTCAGTTCAGTTTAGTTTCCAACAACCGAACCTTAAATGTCTTCCTCGAGTTCATCAAGATCGGTGGATCGCCCAAGCGTTGGGCGGAACGATAGTGAGAGAGGAATTCCCAAAAAATGCTACTGTGGTGCTCCACCAATACTCAAAAACTCAATGGGGAGAGAGTACCCTGGACGGAGATATTTTACGTGCGAAATGGTCGAGGTAATTATATAGATTTTGTTTCCCATTGAGTAGAGTTTGTGAATGTTAGAGTATTTTTCGAAAATGGAATGTGTTAGGACGGAGGTGTCCACATCGGGAAATGGTGGGATGAAGCAATGATGGAGGAAGCGACAATGCTGAGGCTGGAGTTGGAGGACGAAACGGAGAGGATGCGCCGGAGCAAGATGGAAAAGATGCGTGAGAAAATCCAGACACATAAAGAGGAGATAGAAATCTTGTTCGAGCTCCATGCAAACCATCAGAATGCTGTAGCATTGTTGAAGGAGGAAATATCTAAGAAGAGCGATGGACAATCATTGGCTTTGCTGAAGGAGGAGGTAGCGAAGAAGAGCGATGGAATAGCAGTTGAGCTGCGAAACGTGTTCGTGGGGATAGTTCTGGTTGTAGGTCTCCTTATATATGTTCTTAAGTAGTGACAACTTGGATGGATCCTTAAAACCGTAATCGTTGTTACATTGCAAATCTCTATTTACATTGTGCGATTGATGTTATTAAGTGAAGTAGTTTGGTTTTATGGAAGATTATTTGCGAGTGTGATTATATTATGAACACATGTGTGTGAACAGATGTGTGTGGACATTCCAGGATGAATATCCATATTGAAATCAGACAGTCCATTTAAACTCCATGATGTTCGGAAAAATGTGGACACCTTAAGCATAATACAAACCTATTTTGACCTGGAAACTGTAACTTGGGAAATAGCATTGATGTATGGTCTTAAATATTAGGGAATCCCTGTGAGTGTGATTATTTGCGAGTGTGATTATATTATGAACACATGTGTGTGAACAGATGTATGTGGACATTCCAGGATGAATATCCATATTGAAATCAGATAGTCAATTCAAACTGCATGATGTTCGAAATAATGTGGACACCTTAAGCATAATACAAACCTATTTTGACCTGGAAACTGTAACTTGGGAAATAGCATTGATGTATGGTCTTAAATATTAGGGAATCCCTGTGAGTGTGATTATTTGCGAGTGTGATTATATTATGAACACATATGTGTGAACAGATGTATGTGGACATTCCAGGATGAATATCCATATTGAAATCAGATAGTCAATTCAAACTGCATGATGTTCGAAATAATGTGGACACCTTAAGCATAATACAAACTATTTTGACCGGGAAACTGTAACTTGGGAAATTGCATTGCTGTATGGTCTTAAAGTATACATAAACCTCTTGAATAAAAGCTAATGCAAGACACGCAATGAACCACATGAACCAAAAGATACGATATTAAAAGGATGTTGGCGTCAAAGTACATAATAAAGCTTAGTAGATGAGTAATTAAGCTTAACCCATCATCGCATATTACGTTAAATTACGGTTGAAAACGGTATCGGCATTGGCGATTGGTGTGACCTGGACGGGTGCAACGGCCGCACCTTGGCTGGCCAATGACTCTATGCATTGTCGGCGGTTGGTACAAGTACCCAACAGACTGTTGTCCCCCGAAGTCAACACGCGTTGGTACGAAGTGTTTGTATGCCAACGCCCAGTGGCCCCTCCTATAGCAAGAGTTAACCAAAGATTCGTAGGCCAACCCTTTACTCATCTCAGCAAACATGGCATACTTGTTTTTTTGAGATAGACATTTCTGGAAGAAGGCGTAGTATGTTGAGTGAGGCATGGACCACCAAATAAAATGTGGGGACTTGTCAAGACGGACCCGACTTAGTGTTTCGTATGACAAAGCAGCCTCCACGCCTTCACGACCAGCCAGAATCCAGTTTTTAAGCTCTCCTACGCCCTCTTCGGCAACAAGACTTGCTATTTTGGCAAGCAAGGGAGCAGGGATGTAAATCTCATGAGATAGACATTTCTGAGATAAAAACTCCGGGAGTTAACACCATTATATTAAAAATGGAACATTACATGAATAGATGGAATAATTGACCATTGTTACCTGTTTCTTGAAGGGCTTGGAGAGTTGTTCCGATGAATCACCGTCTTCAAATAATTCCATTGTGGGAGAGATTTTGTATAATATGTAGGATAAACGATGGATATCAGTATAGTGGGGGGGTGGCGCTTAAATAAGTAATCTCTTGACCAACGTGTAATAGGAAGCATACAGGGCAGAAACCCTAATGGACATTATAAGTATGCATTATATAAAAGCTGTACATTTAGATTCGAACATTAATTCGGCGAAACGAAGTCATACGTTTCCATATGGATTATTCATAAATTTTATCAGATGGGTTAGGAATATTAGACTCGTGTTTGAACCTATGAGGAATAATATCACAAGGGCATACTTTGATAAGTAATCTCTTCACTTCCGCATAATTGTTGCATACACGGATCAAACCCTATTAGACATTATAAGAATGTTTACGCTCTGCGATGTACATTTGGATCCGGACATTAGCTCAGCCAAACGATATCAGACAGGTTAGGAATTTAATCCGGTGGTTTTGGAATTTTACTTGAGTGAGGATAGGAGGTAAAAAGGTAATGAGATTAAAAAGAAATTTTCATTTGGTTATGGTTAACCGTACCAAACCGGCCTATATATAACAACTTAATAGATGGTTATAGCAGGAATATATTGGCATTTCCATTTGGTTGCGGCCACCGTTCCGAAATGAGTTCCTCCAATTCAGCAATATCTATGGATCGCCGTACCGTTGGGCGTAACAATCGAGAGGGAGGAATTCCCAGAAAATGCCACTGTGGGGCTCCACCAATCGTACGGAATTCTTTGGGCAGAGAGTACCCGGGAAGGAGATATTACACATGCGAAATGGGTGAGGTAATTACATATTAAACTCTCATAAATAATCAATAGTTTAATGGCTGGAGTAAAATAGTTCGTATTTTGGATCTGTTAGGATGGTGGGGCTCACATAGGGAAATGGTGGGATGAGGCGATGATGGAGGAAGCAACAATTCTGATGTTGGAGATGGAGGACGAGACGGATAGGATGCAGCGGAGCAAGATTGAGAAGATTCGGAAAAATATCCAGACACATAGAGAGGAGATGGAACACTTGTATGACCTACATGGAGAGCATCAGACAGCAGTGGCAATGATGAAGGAGGTCATCGTGAAGAAGAGCGATGTAATGGGAGTAAAAGCAATGAAGGCAGAAATCGCGAAGAAGAGCGACGGGATAGCAGTTGAGCTGAGAAACATGTTCTTAAGTAGTGTCCAGTTGGATGGCAACTAATAACCCGTAAACGTTTTCCTGGATTGAAGTAACCTCATTTTCTCATGGCTTGAAGTTACATCATAATTAGTAGTAAACTCCGAAATGTTCAATCGTGATTTGTTAAGTGGAGATATATACCATAACTACTTAACCATATGTACCATAACTACTTGACCATATGTACCATAACTACTTGACCATATGTACCATAACTACTTGACCATATGTACCAAGCCATTGAATATATAACAATTGACGATCTTTAGAAGATACTTCAAGACAACTATACATTAACGATATGTGAACATATGGACCAAGCTGTAGGGTAACATTGACAATGAACATGGGGATTGGTCCATTGATTGTTATAGCACCACCATTAAGTTCGGTGAACATGAGGTTGTGTAGGAATGGATACCGTTATCTTAAGTAAAAACATTAAATTCCGATTAGGTTATATATCAGCAGCTATAAAGGTAGAGATAGTAATCCCACTAGAGGTAAAACAAAAAAATATCATTAGAGGAAGGAGAAATGTCATCGTTCGTTCCTATAGAGCTGGTCACCGAAATTATTCGACGAATTGGCCATAACGGATTTCGTGAACTCGGACCTTTCATTGCTTCTGGTCCGGAGTGGAGAGACATGGTATTTTCGGCTCAAGTGTTAAGGGAGGTATGCCTAGATGAGTTCATCTTCGATGGCTCCTTATGCAACTGTGATTCTCCGTACAGGCCATTCTTGCTTAGGTGTCTGGTTGCCGAAAACAACACCGCTAAATACGTGGAAGGGGTAAGACGAGCTGCACAAGATGGGCCTTCGGTGGAATCCCTGGATATGCTTGGGGAAGCAGCCATCAAATGCATACACTCGCGTTTTGCTTTTGGTGTATTCCTAATTTGTTGCGGCTCTTCCAGTATTGGTACAAAGGTACTCAATTCATTTATGGAAAAGGTCCCAAACTTCATAGAAGCAGTCAATATTGCTGAGCAAGTTATGACCCAAATCAGACAAATGGGTACTCCGGGAAAGCATGCATACCGAGGGTTTAGGGGCTTGATTGATATCCCTGAATGTCGTTTATTCCATCCAACGGCACCAGATGTTTGCGAAGCATGCTTTGCTCTTACTTATGTTTTCCAAATATCAGATTTGTGTTAAGTGTTTTTGGTAAGTGTTTTTGGTAAATCTTTGTTGGGGAAATATATCCTTTATGATGTTTTAGTTAGTATAACTATGTTTAATATGGGATACTCATGGTAAGTGTTTTGGTTAACTAGTGTAATTTAATATTTCGAACATGGTACTTATGACGGGTTCTTTATGACAATGAGGCAACCACATGACGGTGTCCACGCGGTGGGAATTGAACACGACGTGGGTACTAAACGATAAATAAGTGGATAAAGTGTGATAATTAAGTGTATTTAGGGATAATGATGACACGCATTTGGTTAACAATAACATACTTGTTATAGTTATATCATACGATTGGCCACATGGTACCTGCCAATCAATATAGTATAAAACAACAGATTAACATAATAACAACGTCGAATGTGCAGGAGAGGATTAAGAGGCATAACTGCTAGGTCGTACAAGTTGTTAAACAAAATAGATACCCAAAACCAAAAAGATGAAAGCCAGTGTATTATGAGGCACTGGTTGGGTTAACCTGAGCCCTTACTATATAAGGGCGCAACAAATGCAGCATAGACGTCCATGGCATATTGTTTCCTGATGATGTCAACAAGATTGTCATCTAACTTCTGGACAACCTCAGACATGCCGCCATGGCAATGCATCTCAAGAAGCTTAATTGCTAAGGGACCACAGTCGCCAGACCTTTTGTTCTCGTAGATGCCAGTTAGACGTTGCCATAAAAAGGGTTCAAGGCCATGATTCTGGGAAGGTTGTGGTTTACAGAATCTCCGGATGATATATGGTAACTGCTCAACCACTGGTGCAATGAAATTTTTAACCTTCCGGTCGCAGTAGAGACCAATATTGGGGTCCAGAATCTCAACCAACCACATACCAAGATGGATGACTAGGCCTACCCAATGCTCATCTTCCCAAATCATAGGGACATATATTGTGTCAATGTCGTCAAACCATTCACCATGAGGTGTCTTCAAAAAACGCTTAATTTGATCTGGCCAAACTAGTCTGTTTTTAGCCTTGGCAGCCTTAAACGCCCTATACTTTCCCTGCAAAGCATTTGCAAACCAAGGGAGCACAACAGCAGAACGCTCTCTCGCCAGGGTGTGGGAATAACTACGAGAGATGAGATTGAGTAGTAGTTCAATGTGCTGCAAGGCAAAAAAAGAATGAGTATAATGATGGAAAATTTAATGTAATTAAAAATTGGGACAGAGATAAAGTCATACAAGGTGAGTGACCCATTTCTGTGGCTCAGCCAGAGTGAGGAAGGCCTTGTTGGAGATGACATATCCACACGCAGTAAGGTGTTCCCTGAGAATGACATTGCAAAGTTATTCATTAATGAGGAAAATAAAGCTGGTTGAAAGAATTGTATGAAGTGGAAACATACGTTTCAGGGTATATTTCAGGGTGGTGTAAAAAGCATCAAATAGAGATTGGTCAAAATCCGGTATAATTGGTAGGGCGTCAAGATTTATCCTTCTCAAAAGCATGCCAACCATCTGGGACTCTTGAGAAGAGAGAATGGGGAACTCCCTCTTCCTAGCTGGAGATGAGTCACTCAACTCCAGGACATCCACTGCGCAGGCAACTTCGGCTGAATCTTGATCTCCATCCAAATTATCCATCTCGGCAGGAGATTTGACATCAACTTCTGGCCTTCTAATCTGAAAACAATTTGAAAAAAATATAGGAAGGCCAATTTAATGGGATAATGGTGGAAAAAAAAGTCGACAATAGATAAGCAAACCTCATGCTGAGCTGAACAGAATGAAAGTTGAAAAGCAGAAGATTTTGTGGCTGTGTCATAAATAGGGAGCTCTTCTCTTCCTTCCTTCTGCGGTTTAGAGGATGTGTCAAATATGGGGAGGGATATGTCTAACTCCGAAGTAGGCTGAGATGGATAAATCATCAAACAAAGAGTTATAAGAAATGACCACATGGCTGTGTCCATTGTAATGATGGGTGTTTATAACATGACCATTATAGTTGACCATCTGGCCTGGTTTATGAGTCTGCTAAATAAAGGGGTGGATAATGAATAAACTATAACCTGGGCGTTGAATGTTGAGAAGCCTGAGACAGCATCTTCTGTTTGCTGGTTACAAAAAGGCAGTAACTGTGAGGCTTCAAAACATTAAAGAGAAAAAACGGCAAGACAGATTGTAGTTATCAAATATGAATAGGATAAAACACAAGTTACCTTATTGGTACAAGAGGCAGATAGATATGGTTGATTGGGAACAGTATAGTTCAGGATAGATGAAAAAAATGTAGATGGGTTCCAGACTGCGAGTTGTTGCGCAAAAGGGGTTTCAAATACATCTTTATCAGTGAACCCATCAGGGGGACAGAATGTATCACTGATATGGCCCTGGTAATTGAATGTAATGTAATTGTTAAAATGGAAATCCATTGGGATTATTGGGTTATTCAAGTTGGATAATAGGATAGTACAATTTGAATGGGGTGTCATAAGGTATACATTTTTAATAATAACAAAAATCCAAATAAATAATGAGACCCATAAAAAGTTTGGAAAAATAGGAAATATACATATATAACCTCTGAAAATAACTAAAGTACCATGTAGAACACAATAAAGGAGGGGAAAACAAAGTTAAGATTCCCATATAAAATCTAACAATGTGGGAAAAATGGTGCATTCCCATTCCACTAAAATCCTTCGTTACTGTTTAAGTAGTACCTCTATGTTGGCCTGAACCGTGTCTCCTTGACCATGACATTGGATATTCTAAAGTAAATGACAGTAATAGATTAGTAAGGAAACTGTTTAGGATGGTAAGTTCTGTAAATAACAAATACGACGTACCTCGTTATTCACTACAGGACCTAGTACACCACCACTGACCACTGGATCCTCTTCGTGAACATTTGGAGTAGATCCTAGTGAGACAATCGATTGGGGGGGGTTAATGTCCATGTCTGCGTGGCTGGTGTGTGGTTTACATGCATTGTCTACAACGATGTCCAAACCACTCTGATCCATAGATATATGAGATTGGTGTTAGTAGAGAAGTACGTAGAAAATATAGATCAGTTACTTTGATTTTTGAAAAAAAAACAAAGCTATTTTTTACGGTGGTTGTGTTATCAATGTCCATAGGAGCATCATCTTCATTTTGAGGTTGGCCATGCCCCTGAAAAGAAAACATACATCGTCAGAATGCCAATGGGCTTGGGATAGGTTAATCGAACACTCAAAAGACGACAAACTCATCTAGTAAAACTAGGAACAGATAATAAATACGCTACATTTGGTTCTGCAGCAGGGGCAGGTTTAGCAGGATCATGAGGCTGGGACCTCAACTGCCCTTCCTATTAACGTAATTTATTAGTAAAAACAGTTAATACCAAATGACATATATAAGAAGGGGGGGGGGGAATACATCAGACGCAGACGAGTCCTCAGCAGATGACTCTGAGTCAGTGTCTCCCAGAGTCTTATCTCCAGACTCATCACCAATAGTATCGTGATCAGACTTGCCCTGAGTAATATACAGCATAAGGAAGCTTAAGGGGAATACAAGACCAATAATAAAACTAAACAGCAATAATAAAACAAATGACATATATAAGAAGGTGCAGGTTTAGCAGGATCATACATTAGGTTCTGCAGCAGGGGCAGGTTTAGGAGGATCATCAGGCTGGGACCTCAACTGCCCTTCCTATTAACGTAATTTATCTCTCAAAACAGTTAATAACAAATGAGATATATAAGAAGGGGGGGGGGGGGGGGGGAAATACATCAGACGCTGACGAGTCCTCAGCAGATGACTCTGCGTCAGTGTCTCCCAGAGTCTTATCTCCAGACTCATCACCACTAGTATCGTTATGAGACTTGCCCTGGGTAATATACAGCATAAGGAAGCTTAATGGGAATACAACACCAATAATAAAACTAAACAGCAATAATAAAACTGCAGATGCGCTAACTGTAAGACCATAGAATATCCATACCTTTCCAGATGCGGCATTGCCAATTCCTAACTCAACAGCAATAGAATTATCAACTCCAGAAAAAGCAGCAGATTGAAGCTGGCCATTAAATCAGACAGTGAGCAGATAATTGTTGACCAAGTGAACATATGGTATGAGCCATATTATTCACTACCCAAAAGGAAGCTTAATGGGAATACAACACCAATAATAAAACTCAACAAATGCGCTAACAGTAAAACCATAGAATATCCATACCTTTCCAGATGCGAAATTGCCAAATCCTAACTCAGCACCAATAGAATTAACAACTCCAGTCGCAGCAGATTGGGCCTGCCAATTCAATCAGACAGTGAGCAGATAATTGTTGACGAAGTGAACACATGGTATGAGCCATATTATGCTGACACCATATAATATAAGAGAGTAGAGTATTACCTCAGTCACATTAGTTGATGGGCCAACACCAAACACATTTTCAGATTGCCCAACTGGCCAGACCCAGTAAGACCCCCATCAGAGGGAGCGACAGGAGCGGTGGCATTATGTGCTGTGTGTTTGGAGTAGGGGAGGAAGGTTTGGCGTAATACCTTTCTAGATGAGATTGGTCGAAATGACTTCTTGCGATGCCTTTGTTGTTTCATTGATTTAAACTTTTTCTCAAGCTTGTCAGCATGAGAGGACAACCGTTGTACCTGAAGATCAAAAGAAGTTTTGATCTGGACCAATTCAGACTCAAGACATTCAACGCGTGCAACCAAATCATCACGCGATAAAGGTTCAAAACGTTCAGAATTACGGGCTGATCTCCTTCTCTTCAATGACGACGGATTTTTTTCAACGGAAAGGTTGTGCTTTTTGCTGCGGGGCTTAACGTGTTTCTTCTTCACAATACTACACTTCTTCTTAACAACTCTAATTAACTTAGCTGAACAATCACCACCGGGCCACTCAAGCTTGCTGAACCGATAGCCTGTTCTGACTTTCTCAAGCAAGTAGTCAACCTTCTTGTCTTTGACTTCATCATCCCAATCAAAGACCTCTGGATTGAGGGAGCCATATACAATAGGGTCAACACATAGCTGAGTTGAAAATAATAAATGGAGTCAGACAGCAAATTTGATTTGACTATAGTAACTAGCTATGAGTAGGGCAAAACAAATTAGAAATACTTACAGATTCTGATTGTTCAACCGCATGAATAACAGTCAGTGCGGTTGATTGTTTTGGAATCTTAGAAGATGACCAATCGACGAAGTTTCTGTGGTCAGAGGGGTCAGTTAGCGCATCAGCCATGCCATTAATGTTGCGGTAAGCAAGGAGCTGCAAAGCTAGTGGAAAGCCTTGTAGACGAATAGTTTGCTGCTTGAATTGTTGAGCAAATGCTTTAATTGGATCAGCAGGTTTCCCCAATACTCTTGGTGCCGGCTTCATGAACATAATAGTTCTAAAAAAAGACTCTCGCCCCCAGGGGAATTGGAGAAAAGAGTCAATGTCCTCCAACATCAGAACATACTTAAAAGAAGGGCGATGATATTGCTGTTTCGCGAGCAGAACACCATCGACAATAAGAAGCAAAGCAAGTCTTAGCCTGTTATCTCCCTTTACCAATCCGGGAGTTGATAACCTAGCACGAATATCATCTAGAGTAGTGAGCTTCTCTTCACCAATTAACTCATCCCAGTAAGACAACACACCTTCTTCGGGCTCCGGCTCTGAATGAGGGTCGTAAGAGTCAGGAAATTCTCCACATGGAAGACCAGTTACTTCCCCGAATTCAGCAAGCGAAAATCTCATTGGCTGACCACCGAAAACAGTCCAAATGTCATATTTTTTTTTGGTTATGAGCTGTCTGCAAATGAGGGCGTGAATAAGCTTGCAGGAAATGGGGCACTGGCTTACAGGGAGGGCAAACAGCGACCCGAAACAGGAATTGAGAAGTCTCTCAAATTCCGGGGAACCCTTCATTTGTTTACGGATGAAACAAAGCGTGTCTGGTTTAGAGTATACATTAAGGCGTCCACGCGGATAACGATCGGTAGCGAAGAGACGAGTTGGAAGGAGGTTATCCCATTGATCAGAATCTAAAAATAAAAGCACGATGTTAACGGATGAACGACGACAAGTAAAGGAATCAGTGGAAATTACACTACCTGTCATTTTCAATTAAACTAAATAATGGAGGAAGAAGGGACAGAGTCGGAGATGAACGGAAACGGGAAATCAGAGAAGTTCGTCGAGGCACAGTAGTTAGGGTTTTTACTGATAATTGATTCGGGTGAAAAGGGGTTTCCACCGAGGGAGGAAGAGGCGAGAGTAACTCAAAAAGAGAGACAGAAATCGACTTAGAGAGAGTGAAATTAGGGTTTTTACTGAGATTTGATCGGGTGGAATTTAGGTTTCTACCGCTGGAGGCGTTATCGAGAGAAACGGGATCGAATATTAGGGTTGGGAAATAATGGGGTAACTTTAGTTGGGGATGGGTAACTGTTGGGTGAAAGGGTAATGAATTGTTTGAGGGTGTTTAGGTAAAAACACAGAATGTAGAATAGTTGAAAGTTGAAAGTGGGTGATAGTGAAAGAGAAGATACAAAAGTATGCCATTGTGATATTAATCCTATATTATTTTCTTTTTGGATTCCGTGGGATAAAAATTGTCTTCAAATTAAACTAGCTAATAATATGTGAAAAGGGTATTTTTTCATTCCTAACAAATTTCGTAATGCGTTTGTATACTTCAACAAATATTCAGTGTTACTTTTTATCTTAACGCCTAAAATTTCCAAAAAAAAACTACCTAAATTCTGTAATTTGTGCCTTAAACAGAATTGATCTAAATATGATTAAGTGAACCGTTAACTCAGCTGACACAGTAGCAATGACTTATCATTTTTGTTAATAAAACGAGGTCGTTTTAATCGTTTGAATCCAGAAACTCAAATCGACGTCGTTTTGAGTAATTTTAAACTAAAATATCAACAGTTATATTTATAATTAAAAAAGGTAAAAGAAAATTTACAATATTTTTTTACAGATCTACCCTATTTCATAGCACGAAAAATCTTAATTCTTTACCTTCTGCCAAATTTTGTTGGATAGATTTTCAAAAAATTCTAATATTTCGCTAGCGAGTCGGGCTAAATCTATGTTCACAAAATCTGCAATACGCTAATGCGAAGAAATCAGTATAGAAAGTTCAGATTCCTAACCCTAAAAACCTTAGTGTTTCGAAGGAAGAATTCTTTATATCAAATTTAATCAATGGAGGAAAATAGAAGTTTGGAGGAAAAATGTACTCACGGAGATGGATATAAAATATAATATAATAAATATTTTTTTTTGGTGTAAAAAATCTAACCCATTTTACATGTTATTTTATTTTTATTATGAAAATAACTATTAATATATACTTTTAGTTTTGTAACGACTTAGAGGATCAAAATAACGTCGTTTTATTAAGAAAAATGATATGTCAATGTCACTCTGTTACAGGTAATCGGTTGACTAACTCATATTTAGGTCAACTATGTTTTAGATATAAATAAAAATGTTTGGATAGTTTGTCAATTTTTAAGGCGTTAAGAAGTAACACTGAGTCCAGTCCCGTCTGTGACCCATGATAGTAACTATTACCAAAAGGAAATCAAATCGTTGTCCAGTCCTTTTACTTTTACCAATAGTTATTTTAATTTTGTTTAACAAACTATCTACATATTTTGCATTATAAATACAGATCTATGCTTTAGTTTTATGATATTTTCTTGACACCGTATAAAGAAAAGACTCATTTTTTATATTTTGTCTAAAATTGTCGAAATACTTAAAACGTTTATGACAGAACTTTTGTTGAAGTATAAAAATGCAGAGCATATTTTGTTGGAATTGAAAATATTCCCCTAGAAATCTATTTCAAAAATCATTATAGAATTGTGTATACAGAAACAATATTAGGTTTGGGCTTTATTCAGGAAGTTTCTTCTACCAGTTATGCTGCACAGGCAAGTTCAAAAGAGTCAGTCAGGTCTCTCTTTTTTTTATTTTCTCGTTTGCTCTTTTTTTTTCTTGCCTAATTCTTATTAAAAACCTTTCCTAATGTTTTTTAATGAACCAAACCTAGTTTGAAACCCTTTAACTCTATCTTTATTAAATTCTCCAAAGAAAGACATGATCAAAAAGACAAATCTAAACATATCCACTAATACCCGAAGAAACAACAAGATTACCATGTGTCTTTCTAATTAATGTTCCCAAACAATAACATGAGATGTCGAATTTATTGATCGGAAGAAAATTTCAAACTCCAATTAGTAACGAACGCAAGAAATAAAAACCAAAACTCAAAATTACAAAAACCAAATATTAGATGGGCTGATATTAAGATAAAGAGAATTAGAAGATGGGCTTATGTATGAAGCCTTATTAACTTATGTATTAGGTTAAGCGTTATGCACAACCTATATATATATGTATCTCACTCTTCGATATCAATAACACAATACAATATTCAGAGCAATACCCTAGCTTGACATGGTATCAGAGCCTACCTTTGGCCTGTGAAGATTGCTTTGAGTATTAAAATTACTACATAAATCCAGTTCGTGAATCAAGCATGTCTGGAAGTGAAAAGAAGGATGGTGAAAACTCTGGTTCGCTCGTCGTCGGAAAAACAAGTGGTCAAGGAGCTTTGATGTCTCCATATTATCTCCACTCAACTGACAATACCGGACAAGTGTTGTCACTGATTCTATTGAATGGTACCAACTATGAAAGATGGTCCAAATTGATGATGAATTCCTTGCGAACCAAGCGTAAGATAGGGTTTATTAATGGAAGTCTTAAACGACCAGACGTCGATGGAGAAGATGCAGAACGGTGGGACATGGTGAACTCAATGATCATAGGATGGATCTACAGTAGCGTAGAACCAAAACTACGGTCTTCGATTTCACTTGTGGAAGACGTCTCCGAGATGTGGGCTAGCATCAAGAGTCGCTTCTTTGTTAGCGACGGCACACGTGAACATCAACTCCATGCCGATCTCACCAATTGCAAACAAGACGGACAAACCGTAGAAGAATACTATGGACGATTGAAGATCTTTTGGGATGATATCGCTGACATTGACAAAGGATTCTCTTGCTGTTGTGGGAATTCTAGCTGTTCTTCCATGAAGAAATACAAGAAGAAACAAGACGGTATACGTATTCATCAATTCTTGATGGGACTAGATAACCAAAGATTTGGTACAGCTAGATCAAATCTGCTCTCTCGACTTCATGATCTGAATCTCGAGAGTGTTTACTCCCAAATCATTCAAGAAGAAAGACACATTCAAGTGACTCGAGAGCCACAAGAAAAAGGAGGAGCTGTTGGTTTTTCGGCGTCAGCTGCAAGTGCATATAAACCACAGACATCGACATGTTCTCACTGCGGGAAAACGGGTCATGAAAAGAGTCAATGTTACAAGATCGTTGGCTATCCAGAGTGGTGGAATGAACCATCATATCCAAATGCGGGAAGAGGCAGTTCCAATCGAGGTCGTGGTTCTTCCAGAGGAAGAGGACGCGGGCGTGGCCAGTCAATGTCTGCATCACATGTTTCGGGTGCCGTGACTGCAGCCTCATCAACGGCCGGTACTCCACAGCTCACGGACAGTCAATTAAGTGCATTGGCTGAATTTATTGAGAAAAACAAGAAGTCTAATGGGGCAAGTAAAGAAGGATTCTCTGGTAAGAGCGAAAAACTGATTTTGTATAGCACTCATAGTCCCTTTAATCTGATCATTGATTCAGGAGCATCTCATCACATGACCGGTGATATGAATCTCCTAACAGAAATTCAAAAAATAGATCCATGTCCTATTAAGTTACCCAATGACAAGATCACTTGGGCAACACGATATGGCACGCTCCTCCTTGGTGGAAAGTTGATACTTCGTCACGTGTTTTATGCTCCAGAATTGTCTATTACACTAGTTTCCGTATCACAACTTTTACGTGACATTGCAAGTGCCGTCATATTTACTAAAAAGTTTTGTGTGATACAGGACCAAGTTTCGAGGACTTTGATTGGAGCGGGTACTGAACGTGATAGGGTTTATCATCTTGCTGGCGCAGTCATTCCTCAAGCAAATCGTGTTGGAACAGTAGATGCTCGGGATTTATGGCATAAAAGAATGGGTCATCCTTCACCGAGAGTTTTGTATTTTCTTTCGGAAGTTGGTGTTTTTAGTAGTAGTACTAGTGCTTTAGAAGAATGTTGTGACGTTTGCTTCAGAGCAAAACAAACTCGTGTTCCGTTTTCTGAAAGTTCAAATAAAGCTGAAGAAGCATTTTCTTTAATTCATTGTGATGTTTGGGGTCCGTATAGAACAAAAGCTACTTGTGGAGCTGTTTATTTTCTCACTATCGTAGACGATTTCTCGCGAGCTGTTTGGACACACCTGCTTCTTGAGAAATCATCCGTCTCTACAGTGCTGAAAAATTTTGTTGCTTGGGCTCTTCGACAATTTGACAAGAAGGTCAAAACAATTAGAACAGATAACGGTACAGAATTCACGTGTATGCGTGGATATTTTTCAGAAAATGGTATCACAGACCACACTTCATGTGTTGATACGCCACAACAAAACGGGAGAGTTGAAAGAAAACATCGGCATATCCTTAACGTTGCACGAGCATTGTTGTTCCAAGCGCAGCTACCAACTCGTTTTTGGGGTGAAAGCATTCAAGCTGCTACTCACTTAATTAACAGAACGCCATCGACTCTACTCAAAGGAAAAACACCATATGAAGTTTTGTTTCAAAAGCCTCCCTCGTATGATGATATAAGAACATTTGGATGTCTATGTTATGCGAAGTTGGTACGACGTTCGAATGACAAGTTTGAAGATCGCAGTGCTCAAAGTGTTTTTCTCGGATATCCGTTTGGAAAGAAAGGATGGTTGGTGATGGACCTGCAAACAGAACGAATCTTTGTTTCTCGTGATGTTATCTTTCACGAAGACAGCTTCCCTTACTCCTCAAGTACACTAGCAAAGGAAGATGATCAGATACTTACAGCTACTCGACAGGGGGAGCTTTTGTCACCACCTGCTGACCCGACGATCAAACTAGAGACAAGACTAGTCGATCAAAACACGGGATCGATCGCTCCCGAGACACGATCGATCGATCCAATCTCTGCGGATGTCTCTGACGCGACCAGATCGATCGAACCAACAGCCAGCTCGATCGATCCCACACCTTCGTCCGTTGAAACAGAAATCACAG